TACCACTTCCTCATTATATGTATACCACTTCTAGTTGAAGAGGTTTCATGTACAAAGATAAAAATCCTCCAAAAACAAAAGACAGAACATTCCGCTGAACAGGTGAGGCCACATGCCTTCGCTGCAAAAAAAATAACAAACAGCAGCAGCAACTGCTCATCCCCCAACCCGAACGAAGCAAGATCTCCACACCTCGTTGCTCTTGCCTTTGGGTCCCTGGCGCAGGGCAGGGCGTGGGACGAAGCCCTGCGGCTCGCCGACGGACGACGGACGACACCGTTTGCGGCGAGGTCGAGGCATGGCCCCCTTTTGCTGGAGGTCTGTCAGGTCTTGAGTCGTTGGATTTGGCACCATGGAGGACTCATTTGATGGATCCAATCTGGTCTCAGGATGTCTCAGGTCTTCAATCTGGTCTCAAATGTGATTGTAGATGGGATGACAGACGAGGATGATACATGATACATGCATGTATTCCAAAGACGGGCTCTGAAACACTAGTGCTGTGATCGTGTCATCTGGCAAGCAATCGTGCTTGGATGGTGGTAAGGAAACAAGAGGACTGCACAGGGTGGCCGCAAGAAGATGAATAACCCCTTTGGTTCACGACCGCATAGTGCGTGGCACTTGATCGTTCATGGTTTCACCCCTCAATTTCTATAGAAAAGAACCAAAGACATCCCAACATGGTCAAGCAACGACTTGCGTCTGGAGTCTGGTGCCTTCTGCTAGTCAAACGGGTTTTCAACGAGTCTGGCCGCAGCCGGAACCATCGGAATGAACGGCAAAACGATCATGCAAACCACCGGTCAAAACGATCGTGCACACGCTCATCCAGTACGAAAAAATGCAAAAAAGAACTATTGAATACTGTAGAATGTCGGCGTGCGCGCAAACATTTCATGTTCAAGATTCTACGCGTCGGAAAAAGAACTGATCAAAGAAGATTCCTTGCCCTAAAAGGAATCAAAGGAATAAAAACCACCATCGAATCCGTCAGTTTCGCGACCTCCCCCGTCTTCCCCCAGGTCCCCCTGTCGTTTTCCACCGGAACGCCGTTGGTTTCACCCCCGAACCCAAACCGGGCAACACGGAACGAACGACACGGAACGCCTCATCCGGAGAGATGGCCACATCCAGGTAGTCCGGATCCTCGCGACTCCGAGGCTCCGAGGAACAGGAAGGGTGGTGCTGCTCGAGACCCAGCGCGCTGGGCGAATGGACCTGAAGAAACCTTCTTCCATTGACATGCCGGGAAGGAGACGGAAAAAAACAGAACGAAGTAGTGAGACCAGAAGGTTCAAACCCATGCGAGTGATGCCTTTACTACTCTCAGTATGCAAGTGTTGTTTGGTCAGGTTAGGTTCCATCAACGACCTCATAGTGAGCTTCTGAATCACATCCAAAGAAGGGATGTTCCGCATACGCGAGCTTCGCATCGTCGTTGCATGCCACAACGTGGCTCAAGTTCGCACACGTCATACCAAGTACGTATAGTGCGACAGTAAAGGTGCGATTGGAAGGGTGGAGAGTCTTGGTTGGTAAGTTGGCAAGTAGGTAGGTAGGTATAGGTAGGTAGGTAGGTAGGTAGGTAGGTAGGCAGGTAGGCAGGCAGGTAGGTAGGTAGGTAGGTCCAGTTAGGTATATAGGTGCGGGCCACCTAGGGCTCCCCCGATAGCTTCATCCATGTCCTCTCCCACTTTCACCCTCAACTCTCCGACCAGGTGACTCGGTGTGCTGCAGCCACATCCGCGGCCGAACCGTGCTCAAAGCTCTTGTGCTCCATATGATGGCGTCTCGGGTCGCGACACCGAGCCGCGGAACCGCGGAACCGCTGGAGAGACGCCGTCTTTGTTAAAAGGAAATAGAAAACACTCCGTGCCGTTGGACACGGCCGAAGTGCAGTGGGACCAACGGCACACCGGACCGGTGGTGTGTTGGGGCGACGAGCGAGGCCGTGACGGTCCGGTCGATGCGGAGCACGGTTTCGAGCGGTTTCGACACGAAGAAACGCTTGGGAGGCCGAGCCGCTTTCAGTTCCAGCATTCAGCTACACAAGCGTTGCCCGCAGGGCCGCATCTTCACCAAAAAAGACATGATCGAATGTTGAGATGGCCATCTAGATCAAGCACGCGAACATAAACCATCTAACAAGTCTGCAGGAAAATCGGAGCAGAAACTCCATGGACTTGAAAATGTCCAAACATCTGTAGCCTCCGAGACTGGGAGAGACTGGGACTCCCAGGTTCGTCCGAAAGGACGAGTCCGGACGAGTCCCATGAGGACGGGCCGCGCTGGCCCTTCACGTTTGACCGTCCAGATGGTTCGTCTGATCGTTTGTTTGTTCCCAAGCACCGCGCGCCATCCGGTTCGCCACGGAGGCGGACAGAAGAAAAAGACTCCGTTCGAAACACCAGGTGTCAGCTTTTCCGGAGGGGGGCATCGACCTCAAACCTTCAGGCGTCGACCCAAAGACCTCTCGTAGCGGAAGAAGTCGGTCGAGAAAAAAACCATGTTCTCGTGCAGCACCGGGCGTGGTTCTTCAAGTCTTGGCCGCGAACAGAATCTGCCCGGACGCGCGAAAGACATGAACAACAAACACCGGAGTTCCTATGCCAATCAAGTGGGATCCTAATGTCTTCCCCGCTCAGTCAAAGGAACGAAAAAGAATAGAAACCAGGTCGTCCCATCAGCCACCACTCTTATAGATCACATCAGCTCACATCCGCCACCACTCTGGTTCCACTGTCCCCAGAAACTGCCACCCAAAGCCCGCCGGTCACAAGCACGAACCGCCCGGGGTTCGTCGTGATTTCGCGGGCGACGAACCTGAAGAAGAACATGGCAATCATCTCGAAGAGGATCGACGCCAACCTAAGATGGGCAGCCGATGCAGTGCGAAACGCGTTGTGCGCGTTGTGCGTGAGTGCCACGCGTTGTGCGCGAGTGACAACACGTTGTGCCTCAGTCCTGGCTTTCAAGTCTGAAAGCTCTATGACTATGACCAAAAGTATCTCTGGGGCCTTTCGGGTCCTTTTGGAGGGAACAAAAAAATACTGACTATCCTGAGATACTGACTATGAAAGGCCTCAGAGATACTGACTATGACCAAAAGTATCTCTGGGGCCTTCGGGTCTTTTTGGTCATAGTTATGTTTTAAGTCTGAAAGCTTCATAGGTCTTGGTTTTGCACAAGCAAGTTTCGGGTCCTTTTGGGAACCACGACGACGGTGCCCTGTGGGCGAACGGGTCGTGGTTTCGGGGGCCATGGTGTTTGCGTCAGAACTCAATTCTCAACAAGACCTAGGTGAAAACATGACCTAGGCAAGTGCGAACTGGAGATGGATGTGTTACTCCATGTTCATCTTTGAGTTTGAAGCAAAACCATGCAAAAGCCTCAATCTTTGAATTTGAAGCTGAATTCAGTTGTTCCTTCACTCCATTGAAGCAAACGGATGACTCATGTCTGAAGTCAATCTTTGAAGCTGTGCGTTTCTGCAGAAGTTGTACGTTTCTGCGGTCACCGTACAACCCGCATCCTTTGAGAAAACAGCACAGACCCGCAAATGATCAAACAGCCCGCAAATGATCAAACCCAAAGACCCAACACCCGGGGAAAGAATCCGAACAAAGACACATGGAGTATTGGATCCGGAACTGACTCCTCCGCGTTCTTTTCGGATGTGTTTGGTTTTTCTCACCGGAAGAGTGGATCCGGCGCCCCGTAGCCCGATGGCTACATACAACAGTGACCACCGTCTCGGTCACCCGAGTAGCGGCCCGACGTCCCAAGGGTGACCGAGACGGGTTTCTCGGTCGAGAAAAGCGTCTCTCTGAAAGAATTCGTGGTGGTTAAGTAGGATGACCATTGAAACTATAAATCCAAGGACCAAACAGCGTGACACTCTTGATGATATTTCAAACCCCCCACATGAAGAGTACAATCCAAATGGCCAAATGGGGGGTTGCACGACATCAGCTCATGTGTCTCGCGCCGCGATGCGAGCGTTTCCAGCGTTTGAAGCCAAAGCGGTGTTCCCGGTGTTCCAAGCGTTGGTGGTACAAATCGAGCGTTTTCTGCACAAGGAGTCGCGGGTGTCAGACCACACTCTGGCTGTCACGCAGCTTTGGAGTCTAGACGTTTGGAGCTCACCCGAGATCTTTCTCTCCCCCTCAAGAGCTTCCGGTGGCCACCAAACTGTCTGAACCCTCTTGAGATCCGGTTGATGTTGCGGCGGCCCCCAGACATCCCCCTTTTGTGAGCCAATCCCAGACATCCCAAACGACTCTTTAAAACTATATATATATATATCACATTTATGTATCTGTATATATAAGAAAAAGGGAAATACTGCAAAGAGTTGCTCACTGGACAACACTATGGATGCTCTGCAGGGGAGCATACATGTCATACGAGCGAAGCAGAGCTCGGATTTGGTACGGGGGAGATCCGGTCTTTTCACGATCAGCTCATCATCTTCCCATGGCCATTCTGACCGAGTTCCATAGATTGGTGCTCCCAAAACGGAGGGAGCGGAATCTCGAAGGACGTTGAAGGTTTCCCGCGTGGTTCGTCCGAAGCAATCCAAGCAACAGTCCACAGAAGAAGACGAGGGTGGCCAACCTCAGCAGGCAGAAATCAGACCCTCGTCATGTGGAGGGCTGTTTTTGTTTTTCGTTTCTTTTTTTTCACGAGCCTAGCTCACCTGGTTGAGAGCTTTCAGGACTTTCCAACTAGCCGTTGTAGTCCGACCACGTCGCATAGACCGTTGTGGGTGTTAGTTTCTTTTTGGGCGAGTGGTTTTCTTCGCAAGCGCTCCTGTGAAAGCGGATAGCAAATATGACTGGCGGTCTACATCTGTCTACTAACTCAATCAGCACATGGGTCAAAAAGCCCAGCACTGTGGGGTACGTAAAAACTCATTCTAAACTCATTCAAAATCTATGTCGACTAAGTGTACTCCGACGTGCTGGCGCCGAAGTGTCTCAAGCCCCCAACTACCAGCGGTGTCTCAAACCGGTTTCGCAGGACAAATAGAGAGGTGCTCACATGTTTCTTGCTAGGGAAAACCAGTTCTTTTTAATGGTTTGTGGGGCCTCTTGTAGTGTCAGATTCTCTGCTACATCGCTCCGAAAGATGAGTGGCGTGGGCATCCAAAACCAGATCCACCATGTTCAGATCACCGCATGGTTCCCAAAATGGATAGAAAAAAATACTATGGTTGGAGGAGATTTACTCTGTCCATCTATTTTGGGGGTGACTAAAAAGACAAAGCCGACGAAGCTCTCTGCTTTTTGAAAAGAAGTTGACTCCACAGGCCATCGACGCTCGCTCGCTCTCTGCTCCACGCGGTGGCCCCAGACCTTTTAAATTGACGATGCTTGTTTCTAATAGCTTCTTGTTACTACTAGTAAGGCACTTGTTACTACTAGCGTGGCACTTGTTTCTACTAGTAACAGGTGACAGAGGAACAGAGGACCGTGACACCCAAGGCACGAAAAAGAGTCCTCCTCGCCAAAGCCGGCTTCCTGTGAATCGAGGAGGGTGGAAAGAGAGCAACTAGCCCATACCAGGCGACTCTACAGGTCACCAGACCAGGGCCCTTCCCAACCCTCAACCGACGACCTGTTAGGTGCTGGTGTTGTGAAGATCGGTTTGCCGAGTTTTCGCTCACAAAGGGGTCCAGACTTGGGCAAAATCTGGTGAATACCAAATGTACTATTTGCAAACCAACGGCAGGATGATGACTTATTCCTATTCATACATGCCACCAAACATGGACCCGGGGTGTTGTTGGCACCCGGAAATCACTTTCGAGCTGGTGCCTGCTACATAGTGGCACAACATTGATGTTGAATCTGTGCAGTTGTAGGGGCCATGAAAAATGACATACTTGGCCCACTCGATCCACGTTGGCCGATTCCAGGGAGGTGTAGTGACCCGCTGGCCCAGTCGCCCCGCAGGTGGGACTTGCTGAACCAACTGGGTCTTGATTCTGAGTGCTTCTTGTCTCTATAGCGGATGTCGAATTCCGAGACAGGGAGGGGCGACAGAGTCGGAGCCCAAACACGTGAACGGAAGGAGCAAGGTGGCTCTATCTGTGAACGGAAAGGTCTATGATGCACCTGTTGGATGTTTTCTTGGTTTACGAGCCCTTCTTCTGCTTGCGCCGAACGCGCGAAAGCGAATCCTTCCCTGGCTGCGGTGGATTTGGGAGCTCTTGGCCCAAAAATTGCTGCCCTCACACCCAGCTGCCCTGCACTCCGCCCACTTCCAGGCGACTTGTCATAAATCCCAAGGCATTTCATGAGCTTCTTAGGGAAGCAATGATTTATATATCCTCCTATCCAGGAGTGGTCGGTGAGGGAAAAAACACTTTAGAAGTAGCTCTTTTGTAGAAGTGGTACTTGTCATCTGCTTACTCTCCGGGCTTTTTGTACATGGCCTTTGATCGAACAGGTTGCGGATCATTTCCATGGACAAAGAGCGCTTTTGCGTGTTTTTGTAAGATCCTTTGATGGAACATGTGGTCCCCCTGTGGGAAGGAACCAAAAGAAGAGGGAATGTTGAATGGGACTCCGAGCATGAAATCTTCGCTCGGTATGTTATATGATATTATATGTCGTTCCCATCAAACACTCCATGACCCTCTCACAAGCAGCTCAGAGCAAATGCTAGCAACTCGTCGGCCTTGATGGAAAAATGTGTGGGTAACCTCGCATCCACCTCTCTCAAACACTGCCCAGTTCTTTCTGCCAGTTCTATGTGGAACGAGATGCTGCAAAGCTGTCACTGGCTTTGAAGAGGATCTCGCAGAAGGACACGTAGGTCATGACTCCTGCCTCAGTGTAATCAGGGCATTGATCAGGGCAATCAAAGGGATTGGGGCACGCTTGAAAAAATTGGGCAAGAACTCTTCTACTGTCATTCCCATTGATACCCAAGTAAACTTAAAGCTTGGCAAGGCGAAATCCCGAAGCTGTCGCACCTCTTTCCAACCAACCCACTACAGTCAGGGAGTCACACCTCCCCATGACCCACATCAAAAGCCCATGACCCACACCTCCCACCGGACCTTTCTTCTTCCCCGCAACACCTTCCCCTCCTTCTTCGCACCCGCCCGTCACGCGCCGAAAGAACCAGTCCTTCACGCCCGGCTGCGGCCGCACCACCGAAGCCCCGTCGCGACCGCACTCGTCACGTCGCGTGTCGCGTGTCGCACCGTCGCGAGGTTCGGAGCTTCCATGCGCCGAGGCCGAGCGGCCGAGAGCGCCAGGCACACGGCAAAGACCCGGTTGTCGTTGGTGTTCACGCAAAAGGCCTCGCGGTGTCGTCGCGTCGTCAAGACGCAACGATTTCACGCTGTTTACCAGGAAGAACGGTGGTGTGCGCACCTTCGCGGGGGGTTGTCTTTGACCCGGGGCGAGACCGCAGGGTGAAGTTTACAATGGATCTACCAGACCCGAAACTTGGATGTTTGGCCAAAACCCTCAACTCCCTGCGGCGATCGAACTCGTTGGGACTCTCCAGGCATTTGCCCCGTCTCGCGTTTTGCGGACACTCACCGCGCGGTGCCCGCTGCGTCTCTTCCCCTGCTGCGCCCTGTTCCTCTGTGCCCAGGTGCCCCAAAAGACGGCGGCGAAGCGACAAAAGGTGGACGGGCCAGTTGCACCCACCAAGACTTCCATGATGAATTTGGGGAGCGAAAAAAATGGCTCCTCTACCCCAGGACGTGGCTGGACGTCTTCCAATGGCAGGTTCCAATTTCAGGCGCGAGTTTCGACGATTAGCCTCTCCAACCAAGCTGCCATCGCTGCGCCAATGGTGGTGGCCAGTCCAGCGCAGCAGGTCAACAAGAGCGCGAACCAGGGGTCCCCCTGCGAAGCAGAATCTGGGCTGGGAAACAGACATGGGCTGGGAAAGAATGGGGTTTTCTCGAAGAATATGTCTGGAAAGAGAATGATGATATATGGGGGAATTTCTAGGATGGTTGGAATCCTGGAAAGAAGGACCGATCTTCTCGTTCGGAATATGTGTGGAAAATGGGGAGATAGCCGAGGACATCCACCAATAGAGTCTGGGGGGCGATCAACCTGCTTGTGTCCAGGGCATGTGTTCAGTCCACCATCAACGTACGAACGGGTTGGAATTCTGTGATCACCAATAAGTGGCTTCCTCTTCCGCAGATCTGGTGCATCCGCAGAAATTCCATGATGCCCGCTTGGTTTCATTGAGGTTCCTGCAGATTGGAATTTCTATACATGGGTTTGCAATGACTTAACCCCATCCCTGACATGGGCAGTTCAGACAGCCGTTGGTGCGTCTAGGAGTATCTATGGGAGAACATGTCCTAGTCAAAGCTAATAGACCGGGGATTGTAGTAATTGTTGATTTAAAAAACCCACACACACTCATGTTTCTACTCACTTGGAGATCCTTATCCTTGATGGGATTATCCCATTGATCATTCAATACGTATCAATGCTTTCATTCATGGGACTTATCCCAGTGATCCTTCTTCACGCGTCTCCTCTGGTGATTCGCATGAAGCAGTCGCATGAACAGACCGACCCGGCGGCTGGGACACGTCGACCAAAGAACGTGTTTTCGGGACACGGTCACTTCGACCACTCCCCACCCGTATGGTATTTAAGATGATACTTACATAAGGACTGAAATGGTGAAAGATTGCTGGTACTCCGGAAAACCTCGAGAGAAAAGAAGCACCAACAGATACATGCATGGCCATCTATTTTCCCATCATGAAATCCCATGAACCTGCTCGTGCTTTGATCCAGTGAACCCGTTCCACCTCTTCCGTCTGTAGGCGTCGCGTTCCGGCCATGGCGACACGCGAAGACGCGTGTCACACGCGGTGCTCGACGTGGCTCGGCGGAGGTTCGAGCTGCGTGGCTGCGGCTGGGTCCGGGCGGCTCGAAAGAGCTCCATGGAAACTCCAAAGCCTAGCTTTTTGACCGAAAAAGCATCCATCAATCACTTCTTGCAAAGAATTAAAAAAAGGACAGTGAACCCCGCATGAATTCGGATGAACTCCCATGGTCCTTCCCTTGGGGGACTGTCCCACCACACCCGTCCTAATATTCTCAGTCTCCGCTGAAAGGGGAAACACCTCTCCAAATTCCATGTTTGGGTGAGCCACTAGTCACCATGTGTTCTTTGTTGACCCAAGTTGAACTCCTGGTAAAACTTTATGAGCCATGGTCATCAGTAGCTCCTTCAAAACGCATGAAACGGGTCATTCCTTGCAACCCCTGTCTACAACAGTATTGTTGACTGGTCAAAAATGGGACAAATCCAAAGCAACAATGTAGACCCTGGAAGTCCAAAGACTATACTTTTCCATAGTGAAGTAAAGGACAGTCCCTTTCAGGCACCCTAAAGACCATTCTTTTTGTAGTCTTTGACTCCCAGGGTAGACGAATTAGTCATTTTGGAGGGGTGTCAGGTTATCTACTCACCGGTCTTTGCATACCAGTCACACTTTCATCGGCAAAGAATGCCGGCTTACCGCTTGTGTAATCCTGTTTTTGAGGCATAGCAAGCATGGTTGTTGATACATACCCTTGATCCTATTCATATCTCACCTGTTCAAGGAGGTTTTATCCAATAGATTGTCCATGCAACTGGACTCCCATCTCTTTGTTGCTTCGGATTCAAAAAAAAAAGTTTATAAAGAACCAGACCATATCTGGTAGAATAGCAAACCACCAACCCAAACCACCAAATTTGGCCAAGCTGATCTGTGTTTCTTCGGATTTATTCAAAAAATAAAAAACGGGATGGGGACTTGTGCAACCGCGGCCCAGATTCGCATCTTTGGCTCTGCACACGAAAGGGATAAGCCGCACTATCAGTGCACATAGGGACGGTGTACAAACTCAATGTTGAAAGCGTCAGCTCTATTTCCACCGATGGTGGTGCTCTTTTTGGAACCTCTTACCAAAAGCGGATGCAGCTCCCCAAAAACCGACCAATCCACCGGCGCCGGCCACCCCGCTTCCGTCCCCGGTCCGCCGACACGGAGACACTCGGTCCCTGGTTTAGAAAGCGATATCCAGATCGGCGACCACCACCTTCACCAGCCACCTGAAGATAGGCTCAGCCTTATGCGCCCCAACATAACTATACGGAAGTATCACTGCAAGGTGGTGGGCGTTCGATCTTGCTGAAGTAGGTCTCCGTTCACTCACTCTGCAGATCAATCGGATCGACCCCCAAGTCGTTGTCAGAGAAGTGCTCCCAGCGCAACCCTAGACTCTTCTTATGCGGGGATCGATCATTTCTCCTGGAGCCCTGGTTCTCGCGAACGGCCAAACCCGGCCGCCAGTCCCGTTCGGTCCACCGTTCGGTCCACCATTCGGTCCCCATGACCCACAGCCATCTATCCCTGATGAGGATGGTCCCAGCGTTCGACTCTGTAGGTCGGTGGCTGGCCCTACAGAGGTCTCAAATCTTCGCAGAGGGTGCCGGCATGTATTGGAATCCCCTTTGACTGCAAGATCCGCATTCATCCATGTTCTGTAGCCTTCCCCAAAAGCACAAATACTAGAAGAGAGAGAGAGAGGGAGAGGATGACCCAACCAGTGAAAACCCCAGGGATCCCAGAGAAAAAAGAAAAACTGTTAATCCCATACCATGTGAGATGTCACACCTGATTCTCATCTCAGACCTCCGCCACACTTTTGCGTTTCGCACACTGACGCCTCGCGTCCGACGCGACCCATCCGATGCACCGTCTTGGGACCGGAGGGGTGTTGCCTCGTCGCGGCGCGACACGAGAGCTCGGCGCGACACGAGAATCGCCACCGTTGCGCGACTCCCTCGAATCTGTTTGAAGTTCTTGGAACATGTTTTACGTGTTTGAACATGGCAACAGAAGATCGCAAAAATGGATCTCAGGATCTCTTCAACGATCTCTGTTTTTCTCTGCAACTGTTATATATTGTTATATGACAATTTCTCTCCATGGGATGTCTCCATAATATGCACCCTTTGGACTATTTCTGAACCAACAGGTCGTGTTTTTCCTTTGTAGACTGCTTGTCCGGTCGGCATTGTAGACAGCTGGTGCCTCAGCAAATTCCAAGCAAACTCCTGGCACAGTCGCAAAAGCTGGGGGGATTCTTCCGAGCCGCCATTGGGAGACAGGCGAGTTAGGTGCTCCCAATTCGAGTAGGATGGGACGCGCGTCCATCGAAATCGTTCGCAGTCCAGGCGATTTCCAGCCAACCCTGGTCGAGCGAACGTGACGAATTTGTGTTCGAAAGTCTGTGAAAAACCCTGTTCCTTTCGGCATCCCGAGAAACGCCACTCCTGGACTCCTAAAGAGCTGACTGGAAGAGAAGCCGGTTGCAAGGTGTGTGAAAACTCTGAAAGACCTCTTTCCTTGGCCTACACCAGACTTGGCCTGCTTTGGGTCTTTTGATGTCTTCCAAAATCGGCTCGGAACGGCCGGTTTGTTTCGGGTTTCGCTCCGGGGCAGACGTGTCGGCTTGGTTTTGGCAACGCTCCGAACTCTCCACCCGGACCGAAGCTCTTCATCGGCATCCGTGGGGTCCACGTGTTTACCAAAGCATCCAGATACATGACGTCCTGACTTGGGAATAATAGAGGAGTCCATACATCATGTAGACTCTTGATAAATAACCCCCCCATATCAAGAGATTGTTCAATCCAAATGGGGACAGTTTATTAATCAAGACCCTACATTATCTGATATATATATATATATAGCATGTATATATACATACCCATTGGTTGTGCACGACCGGAGGGTACCCCCTCGATGAATTGTTTCTCGCCGTGACGCACGGCGAGATCGGGTTGTTCAGTTGGTTCTTTAATAGGCAGGACTATGGGTCGGGGCATTTAAGATATCCAATGAAGAGCCCCCCCATGTTCCACGCGAAAGAGGATCAAGCTTCTAGAAAGAGCATTTCTTGTGGACGTTCTGTTGCTGCGGATGAAGAGAGTTAGTTGAGATCTCCACATACCCGCCCTCACACCAACTCCACTGATAGGTATGCATTTCTTCATGAGGGAGGTCCGCTGTCCCAGCCCAGTGAGGTCTCCAGGTCTATGTTCCGAAGCTCCCAGCGGGGGTTGTTGCCTGGGAGGTCTCCATCTATTTTCAATACACACCCATCCCAAACGGGATCTGTGGATCCGTACCTTCTCCTCAGGGTTCGGGATCCGTTAACGGACCCTTCAAACCTCGCACCGACATGTCTCAGTGTCGAACACACCACCTAACCTGAGGTTCGGTACGAAGACACGGATCCCTACACCATATGGTCTGCTACGTCCAGGGAAGGAAAGCCCACTTCATCCACGCGCTTCCACGGGCGCCCGTCAAGAAACGCGTGTTTCCACTGGGCGTCCCACTTGGATGACCAGGTTCAGTGACCGTAAATACGGACCGTTCTTCAACCTCTGTTGGTAGATACCCTAGAACCCTATTAAATATTGAGCATCAACCACCGCACCATCGTGGTGCGGTGGTGCGAAGCTCATCCAGTAGTGGATGCAGAGCCATTAATGTGAGCAAAAGGAATTCTTCGATCTTCCTGAAAACAAGACAAAAAAAGCAAACATCCGAAGGGCATCCAAATCATGTGGCCTTTGGTGAACCATCTTTGGTGAACTCTTCCATTCTCACGTGTCCGGACCGTATCTTCCCGTTCTCCTCTGCTTCTTCACCTGCCCAGGTGACGAAAGAAAAGCGGAACACTCAGAAATGGTTCTGCTTCTATGGAGAACTTTCAAAACAGGTCTAGCTTTTGTGGCTGTGAAAACGGGCTTCCGACTCATGACCAGAGGAAATGGTCTGTACTTTTGAGATACAGTACTCCTGACGAGGTACAAACAACCACGAAAGAAGTCCTGCACCACATATTTCAATGGACAGAATGCTATCAATAGCTCTTCTTTTCATGAATTCCAGAGATGGTGTTTTATCAGGTTCTTCTTCTTATTATTATTATTATTCGTCTTCTTCTTCTGTAGTATTGAACTGTGACGGCCACCTCTGGCCACGTGAAAAGGACCGCTGAGAACATGTCCAGAACATGGCCACCGAAAATGCGGCCAGACTGGAGGAGATGGTAGAGATGTGCCGCTGGAGGACCGCTGGAGGAGTGTCAAGGGCTACACGGCTACATGTGCCCTTTGACCGAAGTTGGGTCAGCTTCAGAGCTGATTGCCTTTGAGAATGGGAGCTTCCCGCTGGTGCACAAGACGACCCACATCGGTCGTCCGCTGAAAAAAGGCGACAACTTCTTCGGTCCATGGTCTGGGTGTTGGGGCGGTGTCTGGGTCAAAGGTGACACACTTCTGTGTGTCAAAGAAGAACTCCCAAAATATCTCCTCCAACTTCGGTATAGGGTGGAAAAAGACTTCTATCTCAGATCTCAGATCGTGAATGATTTCAGTTGAAGCGCCGATCTCCCTGATGTCTTGAAAGAAGGCTCCGCCTTCTTGAACGAGGAAAGAACATGAATTCAGCTAAACCATCAGCTTTCGATCTGCAAGGGTTCCGGTCCACTCCGCATCGGTCGCTGATGCGGAGTGGCGAGAGGGGGCGGTCGGAGTCTCAAAGCATGTTCCTAATGTAGACTCTTGATTAATAAACCCCCCAGATGAAGAGGATTTCCGGGGTTGGGGGATGTCTGCACATCTCACTCTTTTCATTGGGGATTTCGAAGATCGACTTGTGGAACGCAAGCGATCATGTGCAGAGGGCAATTGACCCTTCGTGTACGCGAGAGGCAGAAGAGGATTTCCGGGGTTATGGTCCTCAAGAGTCTACATTATCTAAGACTGGCTGGTGCGACGAATGCAGGGAATGAGGCTGGCGACTCGTAAGGGAGCCATCAGTCCGAATGGAGGGGGAAGCATTCCCCGATGGAATGGCTCACAATCAGTCCGAAGGATGTCACTCCCTTCCATAAGGAGGCTTTTTCCCGCCCCGAGGTCCTCAACAGGCAAAACCTTCGAACCAATGCAGGAGTGGTTGAACTCATCTACCCTTCCTGAAGTCAACACAGG